AATTCCTTATCAAGACACACTCGGCGCAGAGGGGGTTATCACATTGGCCGATAGCTTTCCCAATGTGCCAAAGTTTTCACTTAGGGTACTAAACACGTCAGAATGAACTCCCCCGGGGGTATACAGATGTATATTAATTACCCCTATTTCATACAGGTGTAAATTAATGGCGTCTGTTCCACAGAGGAAACTTTGGTCCCGGATGATACTGTCCCGATATGTGTTTGGCACGGAAATAGATTTAGACTATTACATTACAGTGATGAAGCGATACGGATACAGAGCGAGATAACAGTAATTTATCGAAAAAATATGTCCGTCAGTTTTCTTATTACAGGTGTTATTTTCCAACTTTAAACGTCTATGTAATTGTTTTGTATAATTGATAAAAACAAACATTAAAACATGTGTTACAACTGTGAATACTCCTCCTCCTCCTCCTCCTCCTCCTCCTCTTCCTTCATTATTTCCTCTCCCTCCTCCTCGACGGAATGCTATGCTGAGCGCATTCGGAATGGTATTTCAGTGAGGTAGCACTATGAAAATAAAAAAAAGTCGGCAACAGATCACCAGCATGTATAGAAGTCTGTTGGATAACCGAACTACTTGGTAGTAAAAAAAAACAATCAATCAACCAAAACCAGCATAACCTGCCTCCTGCACACATACAAACAAGCACGCATACAACACACATGGAGCTGTAATAGGACGTTGACCCCACAATGACCTGAGAATTTGTTACGGCCTTATTTGGACCTAAACTGGGGTGTTCATAGTACATAATGTTACAGGTTTTAGGGGTCTTGATAAACTTTCGTGACATACCGGAGGAAAAGGTCATGTCCGCGGAAGGAGAATACATTTTGCGGGCAATTAGGAGGTTTCTAAAAGGAAAATTATCCATCATTCCAGTTATACCAATGAGGCTAAGTACCGGAAAAATCAAGGTTTAAATGTATATTTATAGTTTTAGGCAGTGGTACGGGGATTCTTCAGCCATGTCCCGTTGTCATACACCTACATACGCCATTCACCAAGGCAGCCGGGGTTCGATTCCCCGATCGGACGTGAAAATGTATAAAGTCACCTGCCCGATCACGTGCGTTTTCTCCGGTAACTCCGGTTTCCTCGAACATTAAGACCCCGCCCGCTAACATCCGGGCCAACATGAATGATTCTTACTTGTTTCATAACTGTTTTAGAATAAAGAAAGTTTATTAATATACCCCTGCAAAACTTCTTCATTCTTCATGCCATTTCAGATTAGTTCAGTTTGTAATGCATTCCGGGTATTTAACAAAATAATTTAGCTTTGTGATTTAATAAAATTTTATGCAATTTTAAAAATGTACATGTGATACAGCTCTAGCGGGGGGGGGGGGGGGGGGGGGGGGGGGGGGGGGGGGGGGCACTTATTGAGTACTACTAATAGCGATAGGCTACACGTGAGATACCCGAAGGACATCAGTTGTGAGGTTTTCAAAATTATCCACAAAGTGTTTACTGAGTATATCCTTAACCTTGTAAATATAGAAATACTAAACCAACTACATTTACCATCGTATGGCATTGCCACTAAATAACCCAATCTAATTAAAATCAGATCTCTCATTACACTGCGCTATAACATAACATAGTGTAATGAGAGATCTGATTTTAATTAGATTGTAAATAACCCTACCAGCTTCAGTTGGCATTCATATAGGTTATGAATGCCATGGACCGATTGTTGACGTCATCATTATTATGACGTCATACTTGTTACGTCGGATACCACTGACTCTCCCCGGGCGAAATGAATGAATTCCAGAGAGTTGAAAATTTCAAGGAGTTCAGGAGGCTGGTCGACTCCTGGGCCCGTATTCATAAAACGGCTATCATGCTCAAGCATGGATTTTGTGCTCAAGCTTAATTTCTTGTTCTGGTTATAAATTAATAAACAGTCTTATTTTGCAAAAGATTACGAAACTTTTTAAAGAGACTTGAACCTGAATACTGTTTTCAATGTTTACATGTGACATTTTGATCGTTTGGCATGATTTAAATGAGTAACAAGAAAGTTGGTTTGAGCACAGAATCCATGCTTGAGCATGAGAAGGGATCATGAATACGGGCCCTGTGGTGGCCCCATCTGCTTTTGCAATATATGTAAGGACTAGTGCTTCCTGTGTCCCCGCAGTAAGGGCTTAAGAATTGTACCTGTTGCCCCCATTGCATGATCGTAAGAGGCGACTAAATTTGGGATCTTATCTTTTTTCTTCTTTCTAAACAACTTTCTTCTTCCTAATGTCTCCCTTGACAATGCCTCACTTTTGGCCTTTAGTTGAGCGTTCGCCCCTGTGAGGAAGGCTTTGGGTTCTGTTCCATGGCCGAGACATACCAGAGTCTGTAAAAATGGTAGTTTCTACTCCTGCTTAATGCACAGCAATTTAGGAGTGGTATAATGTGACCGGGTGGGGTGTCCTTCTGGGTGTCTTTGGCAGTATGTTTGAGTGAGGTAGCACTATAAAGTCGGCATCAGTTCCGCGCTATCACAAGGAGACAAACACGAACATTTCGCAGCCTCCCAAAACACACGCAAACACTACACGCATGCATCTTGCACACAGGGGCGCCGTCCTTAAATGACCATATCTGTTGATAGGACGGACGTTAAACAATACTAAACCAAACCAAACCAAGCCAGTGTGTTTCCTGGTCATCTCTGCTACCCAAGATTTTTTTTGAATTGTTGTCAAGTTACTCTTATATTATATATCCGTTTACGTGTTTATATTATACTATTGCGGCATTTCTTTTATTCTCCATAACATTATTTTACAGTGGCAAACTAATTTACATTATTGATATCAGTATAATTGTAGCTTTTCTTTTTCCCTCAATATTTTTACAGAATTAATTGATACCATTGATTTCAGTACCATTTTTTAATTCTATATTACTGTATATTTTGTCAATTTTTGCTCTGTGCTATATTATCATTGCATGTATATTTCTCTCTCAAGTGATTAAACCTTAGTCGTTAGTAATACTTGTGTGATATCAAAGCGTAACAGGAGCGGAAAATGCAAGGCCAGACTGGGGTTCGAACCCGAGACCCTCTGAACTCTAGACGGACGCTCTACAAATTGAGCGACCTGGTCACCGACGATCGACCCAGTCCAGCTCCGCAAGGGTAAATGCCGGAAAATACACAAGTATTCACTTTTAAAGTATGTCTTATTCAGTACTATTCGCAATATTACTTACCTGGGATCGCACTTCATGCTACTTTGTTTTATTTTAATTTTAATTTCATATCATTTGATATCAACTCTGTTCTTATTCTTATCTAATGTTCCTAAAGAAGGACATAAAAACTCACCTATTCACGTCTGCATTTTTAGGCTCTTTGCACAGACGTCATGTACAAACTACCCTTGATTTATTATCTTCTTGCTTTAAAGTATTCCGTCTTTGCGTATTGCAGAGTTATCTTCTCTTGGGAGCAGGTATTGATTGTTATGTCACTTGTTTGTGAGAATAACGTCATCAATTTTTGAGAAAACGACGTTATTTTCTCACACAGACCAATGACGTAACAATCAATACCTGCAATACGCAAAGACGGAATAATGATGATGGTAAGCATTTTTTTTTTACAATTATAACTACTACTATTATCCATATGTTGTAAAGCGCTTTAGAGTAATTCTACAAATTATATAGGGCACTAGGCCCTATTATACAGATTCACAACTTGAAGGCCACCTCTGTAGGTAGGGGATGCCCGATAATATACAGCATTTGATATAGCGCACTATCTAACTAACCTAAGCCACTCTTAAGCGTTTTACAGTACATAAATATGCATTTTTTACAATCAGTATATACAGTAATCAATACAATTTGAGGAATTTGCATGAGCTGCCTTATCAGGCGCTAACTACTAGTCATATGCCACCTGGCTAATATCTCCATATGTGTGTATGAAATTGTGTTCTGTTTGTAGTGGGACCCTGCTTCCAACGGTATCATTTATAGTGCCACCTCACTTGAATGCTAAAGCACAGATACCGCAACACCCAACCCAGACCATTTTAGGAGTTGTGGGCAGGGGAAAAAACACTTTCTCTGAATATTCCATGCGTACGACGACTTCGGGGATCGAACCCAGGCCGCCTGCGTGGAAGGCCGGAGTGTTAACAACTCGACCAATCCGATCACTTTAGGTATGATATTTCCCCCCCCCCCCTATATTGTGATAGGATTCAACCAAGAGCTATTTAACAATAAGCTATCTGTGATTACCCCTGTTTCATGTGATATTATAATGTTTTATGGTTTTCTATTACATATATGCTTTTCGTATCAATATCATATAGAAGTTTTGTGTGAGTCTTGTATTGTTATCAATTTTTAGATGAATAATCAATTTATTTGATTTTAATTTCCTTATATTTAGCTGAAGGGATACTCTTAAAATTGTAAATAAATAATTCAGTTGTCTAAGGGTCCGACCCCGACCCCC